TAATTTCTTTCTATTTTTAGTAGAGACGGGGTCTCACTCTTGCTCAGGCTGGTCTCAAACTCCTGACCTTGAGCGATCCGCCCGCCTCGGCCTCCCAGAGTGCTAGGATTACAGGTGTGAAGCCTTGTTTAGATTACTAAGTAGTTAGACCTAGCTGCCTATTTCGAATCCTGGCTTCATCACTTATCAGTTACGAGACCTTGGGAAAAATTTTTATATGCTGCAATGTTTTCTTCTATAACATGGGGGAAATAATAGACTCCATCATATGGGTAGGTAGGCGTTTAATAATTTATTTAACTACTAATTTTGTTCAATCAGTATAGGCATATGCATTTGATTTCTTTTTTTTAATGCTTCCAAGATGATCGTTGCCAGCCCTTCAGAAAATGGACAGGTATTTCGTGTAATTCCATCTACCCAGACAGGAATGGCACAAGTGATTTTACCTCAGGGGCAGCTTGTGGATGTGAATAGTCCTCAGGGTGAGTAATAATGGGATGTAGGGGTTTTGAGAATGTTTTAAAGAACAAATAAATATTTTAGAAAATCACCTCATAAAAGTCAGTGCTAAAATTGATCTCTTTAGGTAAGATTGTGAACTGAATAATTAGAAAACGTTTCTTGGCCCAAATAAATTTCAAGTTCATTTTTCAACTCCTGTCTAGGTTAGCTGTCTATTTCATTTTGGAATTCTATGAAGCTGGTTGACTCCTGCTTCCTCCCAAATGACCAGTGAGCATAAAACAAATTCTTCTTAATTATAATAACAGTAAGAATAACAGCAACAATAACAAGAATATTGTGCTAATAGCTACCAGAAAAGTTTTTATATTTGTATTTTTATCAATATTTTTGTTAGCCATGTGACTCATTTTTTTAACTATCCTTTTCATCTTGCTCTTTTCCTCTTTCCTTTGTCCCATCAGATTCAGAAGGGAGAATCATGCCCCCCCCATTTCTTTTTATATATTTTTTCTTTACCTCTTTGATAATATCCATATTAGTTCTCTTCCTCTTGCCTCCTTCCCTTTCCATCTATTTGAATCTCTTTTCTAACATTATAGCTACATTGTTTTGTTACTCCTTCATAGCTAATGGTTTAGGGTAGATATTTTTACCTTAGTCTTATGATTCTTTGTTAACAATCATTAAAACTAAAAAAAAAGATAGCTTGCAGAAAACATTGTAAACATAGTATATAAACAAAAAAGAGTTTTATTTTTTCCTATTATATTGTGAAACTCCTACTATAACAATTATTTCTACCACTTTTATATCCTAGGTGTTCAATATAAATTACAAAAACTTAATTATAAAAATAGTCAATATTATAATTTAAAAGTAAACAAGTTTATTAGAGAAATTCTCAATAAATCATTAGAAGATTAGTTATCTTTAGCTTCAGAGCAATTCTTCCTTTACCTATTACAAATATATGTTTTAGTTAGGTACATTCTCATGATGTTATTGAAGATACTGATATTGCTTTGTTCTTGTTTTTGTCGTTAAGATGTCTCTGAAGAGAAACCCAATGACAGAAACTTACCAACTGTAAGAATAAATGCTTTAGCAGACAATACCGGTAGTTATATTCTTCATCCACAAACATCCCTCACATTGCCCAAAAAGTCAGTGGCCAGGTGAGTCCATGGGAGGGAGGAGCTCATCTTTTGATATCACCATGGAAATGTTTTTGTAAATTGTCATATTTAAAGCTGGATGACTATAGAGAAGATCAGAAATTCAGAAAATAGAGGAAACAATCATCAAATAAATCTTTAATTATTTTAATGGCATCTTGGCAATAAGGAGTCTACTCTGGAAGCTGTACATGTCAAAAGTGCTACTTTTCCTCAGTGACGCTTACTTGTTATCTTTTGAAGTAACACGAAAACATCTGACACTAAAAGAGATTTTAGAATAAAGAAATACTCATTCTGAGGCCGGGCGTGGTGGCTTACGCCTGTAATCCTAGCACTCTGGGAGGCCTGAGGCAGGAGCATTGCTCGAGGTCAGGAGTTCGAGATCAGCCTGAGCAAGAGCAAGACCCCA